ACATAACAATTTCCAAATTATGCTTTCAAGACCAGAGTTATGAGACCAAAACAAGCTGCTAGCAATCCTGACACACAACCTGCTATATTACACAGGGGGAAAGTTCATTTTATGGTGAAGGGTCTTGATTGGAATTTTTTCTTTTTTTAAATTTTTAAAGAGATTAAAAAATAGTAAAAAAAAAATTAGCTACAAAGAAATGTACTAAACAAAAAATTCAACAATGCTTGTTGTATTACATATTGTCTTGAAATTAGTTACTCATATTACCAAATATAAGCATGTAAAATTGGTCAAAAATTATGAAAAATTAAAATGGAGAGAGAAAAAAATTAAGCACTAACTACTCCTTTCAATAGACCTGCAGAAATCAGTAGTGCAGTTATCCAGGCTATCCTGTGTATATACATATATATTTCTTTTTCCCTTCTTTCTTTCTTTACTCCTTTCCCTCACCCCAGTGTTCCTTCCCATTGAATAGTTTATTTTGGTTTCACAGTATCCATTTTGCCTTTCAGATTTTATTTACTCTTTCAGGTTCTCACACTAGGGAGACAATATGATGTTTATATATGCAGATCTGATTTATTTCACTTATGAGTATGGGTTCCACTTGCATCCATTTACCTATAAAAGCCTAAATTTTATCTTTTGTTAGAGCTGAATAATACTCTATTGTATAAAATACTGTATCTTTTTATCCATTCCTCAGTTTATGGGCATCTGGACTGTTTCTAGGATTTAGCTATCCCAAATTGTACTGCTATAAACATGAGTGCACTTATGTCGCTATAGCATGATGTCTTCAATTCTTCTGGAAAAATACCCAGGAGAGGAATAGCTGGATTGAATGGGACCTCAGTCCTAGTTTTTGAAGAATCTTCACATGAATTTCCACAGTGGTTATACCAGTCTACACACCCACCAACCATAGAGAAGGATTCCTTTTTCCCCACAGTCCCTCCAGCATTTACACCATAACCAAGTGGGATTCATCTCAGGAATTGAGGGGTGGTTCAATATATACAAATCAATAAATGTAACATAGCACATCAACAGAGTCAAAGACAAAAATCACATGATCATTTTAATACAGAAAAGTTTTTGAAAGAGTCCAACACTCATTCATGATAAAAATCCTACAGAAAATCAGAATACATGGTATTTACCTCAACCTGATAAAAACTATCTATGATAAGCCAACAGCCAACATCTTACTAAATGGACAAAAACTAAAATCCTTCACTTTTTCAAGAACAAGACAAAGATGTCCACTGTCACCACTCCTATTCAATTCTGGAAACAGAACAATCAGACAAGAGAAAAAAAAATAAAAGGAATAGGGATTAGAAGAAGTAAAATTATCATTATTTGCCAATGACATGATACTCTAGATAGAAGACCTCAAAAACTCCACCCAGAGACTTGTAGATTTAACAACAAAATTCACTAATGTAACAGGATACAAAGCCAGCACTAAAAAATCAAGTGTTTCTATACACATACAATGCACACACAAAGAGAGAAATTAGGGAAACCATGCCTTTCACAATAATATACAAAAAAAAGAGAAATACTTAGGAACCAGTCTAACAAAAAAAGTTGAAAGACCTATACAGTGAAAATTACAGCATTCTGAAAGAAGAGATTGAAGAGGATTTGACAAAATGGAAAGATATTCCTTGCTCCTGGATAGGAATAACCAACATTGTGAAAATGGCCATATTCTTAAAATTGTTGTACAGATTCAATGCAATATCAAATAAAATACCATTAGTATACCTCATAGATCTAGAGAAAACATTCTTAAAGTTCATCTGGAACCAGAAAAAGAGATAGAATAGCAAAATCAATCCTGGGCAACAAAGGAAAGGCAAGAGGCATCACAACCCATGAGCTGAAACTAAGCCACAAAGCTGCTGAGAAAAAATAAGCATGGTGCTGGCAAAAAACAGACCTGAGGGAAAATGGAACACATTAGAAGATGCAGACACAGTTACAAACACACTCAGCTACCTTATCTTTGAGAAAGATGCTAAGTATGTTCACTGGAAGAAAGATAGCCTCTTTAATAAATGGTGCTAGAAAAACTGGCTTTCCACATGCCAAAGGCTAAACATTTTTTTTGGGTTTTTTTGTTTTGTTTTTTTTTTTTTTTTTTTTTTTTTTTTTTTTTTTTGTTTTTTTTTGTTTTTTTTTTTTTTTTTTTTTTTTTTTTTGAGACAGGATCTCACTATGCAATGCACAGTATAGAGCCTGTACAGCTGGGATTCAAGTTCTGGCCTTGAACTCCCTTAGGTAGCCCACCCTGCCTTGATTTCTCAGAATCCTCCTGCTTCAGCCTGACTGTTGGGATCACAGGCAAGCACCACCATGCCTGGCTATGTCATAGTCTGTAACATAGTATTATAACAAAACATTCTCTCCTTTTGAGGATGTGTGGGAGACAGAGCATCCCTTTATCTCTTTGTTATTCTGAAGACTTACTTCTAAGAACCATTTCTGGGACTTCATTAGTTAGTTAACATGGAAAGTAAATAGCACACTTGATAGTATGCTCCATCACTGTCACCATGAGAGTCCCGAGCTCTCAAAGCAGCCCAGTTAGACTTTCAATAAATAATACAAGTAGCAAACTCGAGGTTAATCATAACTGGTAATTGCAGCAAGGCAGTGGGCACACAGAGCACAAGGACTATGCTCCGTGTTTCTTAAAATCTCCACAATAAAAGGCAAAATAGAATCTTTTTTTCAAAATAAAAAAAGCACATTTTAGGTAAAAATGGAGAAAGTTGCTAAGATTTTAGAGGCAAAATGCGCAACAATGTAGCATTCATCATCCGCATAGACAAGGTTACATCTAGAATCAAAGAGGAGGTGTCCAAAGTAACATTAGTCTGTTTGTGGTTTGTTTCTGTGATGAAAAACAAAAAATCCACTAATGATGAGATGCAAATTAGACAAGACTATACTCACGCTCTCCTAGGTATCCTACTTATCAACAATCCCTTTAATGCTCCCTGAGGCAGGCTCTTTTTGTCCCTCTGCTATCACTGAGATAAGCATGGTTTCCCTGCGGCTTCTCAGGCCATTTCCCTCAGTTTTCCCAGGGCCATCCCTAACCACAATTGTATCTGCTCCACATTTTTGCTCCAATATCCCTACCTAGCCTCCCTTTACTGCAATTCTCAGCCAAGGATTCCCTCAAAACTTAGACTGAGGTCTACCCCAAGGTAAGGGAAGCTAGGGGAGCACAAATGTAATCCTAATCCTCCTTTCCACCCTGAAGGATGATGGAGAAAGAGGACGCAGACTAGCCCAGCTCACCCTGCCCAGCTACTGGAAATAATCTGAAGGTCTAGAATATATTCCTCAAGCTTTAAGTGCACCTTGGAACCCTTCGTAATGCAGACAGATGCCTACTCCTGTATATGTTTGAAGGTACAGAGCAAAGGACTGTTAGTGGGATAGCTGGGGCTGATGATCCAGGTGGCTGAAATTACTGCAAAGGAGGAGATAGCAGGGGGCCCCTGGATTTTGAGGAACACATATACAAAAGTCAGAACAAGAACTGACTGTAACCCTAGGAGTGTGGGAGGCTGAGGCAGAAAGACTGGACGTCTCAGCACAGCCTGGGCAACTTAGCACTTTAGTGAGATCTTGTCACATACACACACACACACACACACACACACACACACACACACACACACATTTTTAAGGGCTGCGGATATAAGTACATAGGCTATAACACAGTTAGTTGCCTTGTGTTTTCAACTTCAGAACTATAGAGCAGAACTTAGGTATTAGGGCCAGAGTCTGACCACAAACTCACTTGGCCTTTGGTCTCCTTGACTATTTCAGCCTAGTATGAGTGTGCACAGAGGTCCCCAGCTGTACAGCCTCTATATGTAGGAAACCCTGTTTTATCTCTTCTCTGCCTGAGATGCAGTACTATTTTTAAAAATTCAAACATCTAAAAACAAGAAAGGAAAGGGGCAGCGGGAAAGGATGGTGACAGGGAAAGGGGCAGCAGGAAAGGAAGGTGACAGGAAGAGGAGGAAAGAGGAAAAGTGGAAGGCAGAATGGGAGAGAGGTCTGGAAGTCAAGGAAGTACTATGAAGATATGAGATAAAGTCAAATAGATGGCCGCCCACAAATGAGAAACACCTCCTCCTCAGTACCTCCCTTGGGGTACCCTGATCAGATCTTAGAGAAAAGAAGTGAAGTGAGAAAGGTATTTAGCTGACAAAGATGGGGCCCAGGCCCACCCTCACCTAGAGACACAGCACCAACACAGGGAGCATGTGTCCACACACAGCAGCCCACCCACCAGTCTCAGCTCCTGAAGTCTGGGGAGGACAGGTGTGTGTCTCATGCACTGGCAGGATGCTGGAGTCCATAGGCAGCTTCTGACACCCTTGTTGACCAGGAAGCCAATGAGGGCTGACAACAACCTAGGTATGACAGTCACCAGGTATAGCCAGAGATCAAAGGCTCACCAGTAGACACACATGATGGTAGAGAATACATGACATCCTGCCCACTGATGCCCAGTAGTTATGTGCTATTCTACTGGCCAAAGCTGAAGATTAGGTAGGTGGGACCTCACCTGGTGCTCCCAGACCCATGCAGCAATACATTCTGGCTAATCACATGCACCGGCTTAATTTTGCAGTAGTAACAATAAAGCTTTCCATTGGTATGCATGGCTGGCAAGAACTTGAAGCCCAGCAAGTCATTGGCCATGAAGTAGCAGAGCTTGAGGATACTCTCTGGTCTTCCTGAAGAATGACTTGAAAACATTTATGTTACAGACAAGTGGGGGAGGTAAGAGCAAAAATCAGGGTCCAGGCAATGTACAGAAAGGCAGTACACATCTTAAGTGTAAGTACTTACATATGAACAGCAGGGTGAGATCACATAACATGTGACACTATTGTTAAAGAAAAAAAGACAAAGGGGATAAAAGAACATGACCGTTAAGTGCCATATTCTGGCTAAAGTCCAAATGGACTGCAGCACATGGAAGCCAAGCTGAAGAGGACAGAGCCAAGCACACAGGTAGAGAGCCAGGACAGGTCTGCAGGAGATAGTAGGGAGACTTGCACAGGATCGGTTGGATGGTTTGACCCTAGGCACGGGGTCTCCCGTGGCTGCTTTGCTGGACCTGATCTGCCTGCCTTTGCCTTCTCTGCACGAGCTCTTTCACTCATAAAGTACTACTGCAGAGAACTGGGCCGTAGTTTCTCATTATCTCAAGTCTTGTCAGACTCAATAGAACTGTTATTTACAAACCACCAAAAAAGCTACGGTTCTTTTCCAGGTTTCCCTGACTCACAAAGTGAGGATCATGTCCTGAGAGCCACTGGGCTGGAGCAGAATGAGAAATCACCCGACCAGAAGACCCACACACATATTCCATGATGAGCACCATATTTTGGAAATAGGAGTCAGGGCCAAAGTAGAATTTGATTTCGTAGCCCAGTCTAGCGAGCCCAAGCTCCTCCACTTCCAAGCTGTTCACTTCTTTATCTTAGCTGTTCAGAAAAGAAGACTGCTGGGGGAGGTTTAGGAAAGTTTGCCCCCAAAAGCCCGAGAGGTTCGTGAGGACATTCCAGCACTCCTAGCAGCACAGTCACAGCTGCTGGAACTTGCGTGAGAGCCTGAGGTAGGTCCAGTCAGCCTGTGCGATCACCGTTTCCAGCTCCAACTGCAGACTCCAGGGCGTCCCTGTTACCAGAACCTCCTTAGCAACCACTGAGGTCACGATTGCTAGATCTTACCATCGTGCCCGCGCTGACCCGTGATTGGCTCCACCTCCGTGGCTACGCACTAGCCCTCCATGCGTGCTGGGAGCTCCTCTTGCTCTCGGCATTGCAAAGTTTTCTCCGACCTTAGCTGCAGTATATGGGCCTCTTCCGTTTGCAGCTCTCATGCATGCCCCCAGGAGCTGATGGCGCACATTCGCTCCTTTTGTGCAAGATAACCAGCCCGCTTGCCCCCATCTATTTTCTGAATACCCCCATCCATTCAGTGGTATTTTGTGACACTTGTGGTGATGAAGCTACTTGTGGCCTCTGTGCCTCATCTTTGAAGCCCTCAGCTAAGCGATTCACTCTGACACCAGGGAATGTGAAGGTGGGGGCCATGATGCCAGGCCTCAGAGACTCACCTGCCAAACAATAACAGTAGCTAGTATTTAGTATCATACTGCTAGATATGTTACTAGATGCTTTATGTGCCTTATCTTCACTTATCAGGGACATATTGTTATCATTCCTATTTTTCTGATAGTAAAATCGCAGGTCTGAGATGGCCAGGAGCACTTCTGAGACTTGGCATTCTATACTCTGCAGTCAAAAGTGGCCAGTCCTTCGGCATAAACTGTACACGGCTGCCTTGGCTGCTAAGAAAGTGAACCCTGCAGGTTAGCAAGCATCAGTAGAACACGTCTTCCCCGGAAGCTCACCCACATCTTCCGGCATCTTGGCCCTCGCACAGCTGTTAAGCCGGGCTGCCCTTCAAGGTATGGAGCACATCAATCAGGGCTCCAGTAATTGCGGCAAGGCAGAAGGGTGGTGAGAGATGGACATGGCCCATCAAGGAGCAGAGCAGTGTTCTCCAGTTGTATACTCAGAAGTGCACTCTTCACAGAGGCAGTGAGGCTGCCCTAGACACTTTCTGCTCAGCCTGCTGTGTGTTCCCAGGGGCAGCCCTAGACCAGCCAGGTAGTAAGACCATGATGAAAGGCAAGAGAACCAGGGCTAACTTGAGAGTGCAAAATGAAGCATTTCAAGGAAACACTTTCAGGTTCAGAGGGAACAACAGGGCCCTTGGAGCCAGCTAAAGAGGCAAACCCCAAAGCTCCTGCGAACTCACTACTCCTTTAATTACTCAGAGTATTCTCAAGGGCCCAGCACTCTGGCATTACCTGGGTTCCAGGTCTCCTTACAGTCCTTTGAACTCACTCATTAAGCTCCTGCCACAGGGACCCTGCACGAGCCTTTCCTTCTGCCTTGAGGGCTCTTACTCTGCATGTGGCCGGTTAAATGTACTTAGGGTAAGTACTTTTTTTAAAAAATCAAACTTTTTTAAAAATGTCACCTCAGTGGCTATTCTACTTAAAATTGCCACCCATCCTCAGATCGTCCACTCTATATTTTGGTTTTTCCCATAGCATTTATCACCATTCAGTGCACCATACCATTTATTTGCTTGTTCTTTCATTGTCTCCTTTCTCCATAATATCAACCCTAGGATGGCAGAGAACTTTGTTCTGTTTGCTGTTCTGTGTTCCGCACCGCCTACACCAGTGTCTGGCACATCCAAACACTTAATAAGTAATTGTGTAGTGGAAGAATGAATTGAAACAGAATTTTCAAAACTGGATTTGTTGGGGCCTTACAGTTCAGCTCTGTTGTTCAAAGTGCCTGACTGGGTTTGCCCAAGCAGGGGACCGCAGTTTGATCCCCAGCTCCACGTGCCACACTAGGCCCACCATTAAGGCACCCTGAGCCAGCCAAAAAAAAAAAAAAACTGGATTTGTGAGTTGATTGTCTAAAATTCAAATATCCTCCTTTTCCTACTGAAGCAGTGTTATAGATGGAAGCTACATTTTCTATTGAAGTCATAGTTTATTAGAGAATTATCTTACATTTCAGAGTGCTATTCAAAGAAGGTATGTAGGTAAAAGATCTAGGGTGACAGATTAAGATATTAATTTGGGAGAATTAATATTTAACTTCAATGGATTAATTAGCCCAAAAACCACCTTAAATCTTGCAAAGGCCTTTCCTAATCGCTTCTTCTCAAGGCTATTCACAACCACCGTAGACCACGATAAGCATCCCTGTCCCTGAGCTCATGGAGTACGCGTTCACTGCATGACATTCAGAAGCTAGACATGCTCTGTTCTGTACCAGTGCTTGCGTAGAATTATCTCTTAAACTGGATAATCACAGTTTAACTGGAGCTCTCTGTAACTCAGAGAAATCCAAAAATCAGCTGAAACAACCACCATTGAGCTACAAACTGCACTGAGCCATCGGCCCTCTTCTCAGGGCACGCACAGCTCGGCCCTCCTCTGTTGTTGAGAACCCTAATCCAGCATCAGCATGTGTGGCACTGAATGCTCAACCGTAGCTAAGCCACTGCAGGATTAACAGCGGCTTGGCCACTGGAAAGTCTTTATTCTACAATCTGCCTTGAACCTACTTTCAACATGTCAGAGAGATAAGCATCAGGTGAAAGGAAATAAATGTGAGACTGTCCCCCTACGTGGAAATACTTCTCTGCTCCATGTCACCTGGTCCCTATGGCTTTTTATGAAATAAGCTGGTCTGTGCTGATAAACTGAACTTCTGGTTTTCTCTTCAGGTATTAATACTTAACTTTATATTGGAAAGTAGCTTAGGTTCCTAATTAGACAGTAAACTACGTATAGTTAGAGACTGTGTATCTTTTACTTTTATCCCTCAGAGCACCCAGCCTGGAGCCTTGTATATGCTAGTAATTATAATAAATGCTCACATTTATTTGTACTTTTAGAGTGCCACGTCTTAACATATTAAATCCCCATCACCACCCCATGGGGCAAATGCAGTCATTGCTCCCATCTTAGAGAAGAGGTTACTACTACCTAAAATGGTTCAGGAACTTCCCCAAGGTCACAGAGCTAGTAAGTACTTCTCTCCCAGGTATTCTGACTCCACCTCTGTGCTCTTCACCAATAGCACAGAACGAGACACTGTGGCTGAGAGAGTAATTGCTCTGGTACTTACGCTCTTCCTTTTAATGGGTAAAAACTACCTTTTAATTTTCAAATATCATATCTACACATACATACAGATATTCATATGCATCCATATACTCAATACATACATCAGTTAGCCATGATTCCTTTATTTATGGGTGTACAGTCTATGCTTGTCATGGGAATATTCTACAAACTGATTGAGTTTAGTTTCAACAGCTCATTCTGGGAATAAAGCCTCTTCATTGAACTAAATTCATCACAAGCATCCTATGAATGTTATGAAATATTATGAAAGAAATAAAAGTTTACCATCATGAACTCAGAGATCCTGGGGTGTTTTAGCTTGTTCCCAATATCTAAGGACTTAAATCCATGATAGTATAAGGGTTAAATTATTTTTTAATGTGGTAATATATTTATTAGCAAATATTAATTAAAACTGCAGAAAACACTTTTCAAAATATTAGTATAACCACTCTTTAGTTTTGTTCTCTGAAAATTGGGTTTCAGACCTATTTTTATTGAATCATGGAAATACCAAGCCCAGAAAAGGACATTCTAGTTATCCCATCTATTCTCTAGCCAAGGAAACAACATTCTACAGTTTCTCTTGCAGAGCTTCAGGACTGCAGACATGACACTTTGAGCCACACAGGCTTTTCTTTTCTTCCTCAAAAAGATAGCTGGAGCCCTAGAGGTGAAGTAGGGAGTGCTTATTGCTTGGAATTTCACTAACCCACCCTCCCAGCTAGAAGTCAGTGGCACAGGAATACTCTCATAGCCAAGGAGGGAGGGAGAGAAAAACCTGCCCCAGCTGGTAAGTTTCTAAACTACTTCAGCTTACCATCTTAAAGAATATGCCGAGCTCCTTTCCATTTTCCACCAAAAGAGAGATTTTATAATAGGCCATGTAAGTTCTTTCATTTCATACCCTCAAAGTAGCTGTAGAATTCTTTAAAATATTACCAGACATGGTCTACCTTCTTGTTCTTTTCTTTTTACTTTGCAACATCTTCAATAGTTAAAAATTACCTTTAGGCTAAGGCTTTTGTCCCAGGAAAGAGTGTACCAGAAAACCCAGCAAGCAGAATTCAATGAGTCAGATTCTTAACTTTGAATTCCAAAGCAGGCTCTTGAGAGAAAAGATACATACAGTAGCACTGAAAAAAGTATATATCTTCAAAGGTAAATCATCCTGGGATGCAAAACACATTGAGTTTTAACATAATTCTCAGCAAAGGAAAAGCATGTGGTGGAATATGAGCTGCTCCTTCACCCCACAGACGGAGATAAGAACCTTCCCTGGCATGCTGGTGTGGAGCTTGGAGAAGCTCCAAGAGCACATAGCTGGCATAGGCTCTTGAGAAAAGAATTCTCACAGTGACTCCTCCAGGGGTCCAGCCCCTTGGGGAACTGGTAGAGACCACCCTCCCTTGATAAGCTAGAGATATGAAATTAGGGAGAATTTGTTTCCAGCTTGACAATTGGAACTCAGACAAGAAAACCTCTCAGCGAGCTCCACCCAGCAACAGCAGCAACAATGCATGAAAGTATGTACAGGCTAAGTGTTGACAAAGACACTCTGTGAAACAGCAGCCTTGCATTTCTCCTGCTTCCTAAGAGAGCCAGAGAGGGGTCTGGCTGAGCCTTGCAGTGTAGATGGAGAAGTGCAGAGTAAAACACTTGTCGATCAGAAACTTGTTGAGGGGGCATGCATCAGTGGACACAAGCTTCAGAAAAGACAAAATATGTGCAAGACACTCTTCTATCAAAGACAAAGTGGATAGATCCCTTAGTCTCTGTGGTAGACAGAAAAATAAAACAGGAAATAACCTAAATAGGCATGCACGTACCTAAAAATAAGAAAAAAAAAGTAGAATTATAAGTAGTAGCCCACCAAGTCACTTTAATTGCCAGGTTTAAATTCACCTGAATGTTATAACTTGTTACAACTACAAAAATTCATACTCATTATAATGGAATTACTAGACCAGACCCAGTATCTAATGGGGTTAAATGCACAGCATGAAGCTCAACAAATTTAAAGGATGCGTGACTTTAAAACTCCTTAAGAGACCAATCCAAAAGAGAGAGAGAGAGAGAGAGAGAGAGAGAGTCAGAGCACCCAGCCTGGAGCCTTGTATATGCTAGTAATTATAATAAATGCTCACATTTATTTGTACTTTTAGAGTGCCACGTCTTAACATATCCTCTTCCGTTTGCAGCTCTCATGCATGCCCCCAGGAGCTGATGGCGCACATTCGCTCCTTTTGTGCAAGATAACCAGCCCGCTTGCCCCCATCT